ACCAGCTGTGGCTTTCCCATGCAGGCGTAGGGCAGCTCCAGTGAAAGGAGGCAGTGTGGCCAGGCTGGTGAATGGGACATGGAGAACTAGTGGCATGGCGTTGATCTACAACTTAGTGCGGCCATCCAGCTGGAACATGGTCAGATGTAGATTTGACCTGCATGGCCACCTTGGAGCCAGCAAGAATCACCCTGCAGCCTTGGCCCCATCTCTTGGGCATGTACACAGGAGTTGGCAAGCACTGGCATACTGGATGAAAAAGAGGCTCTCAGAATGCAGTCAGGCTGCGGGGCTTACCGCCTCCTGTGAGTGGGGTGGGGGCAGCAGGGAGGCCTTTCAAGTCAGACCTGACCTGTTCCAGCCCAGATGGCTGCCACCAGGACTTCTCAGTTGCAGACCCCGACCCAGGAGAAACAAGCAAGGGGTGCTCTGCATGTGCCCAGAGGCTCCCTCGCCAGATGCTCAGGCTGCAGTCTTGCTCTGATTTACCCACCCAAGCACCAGGTCAGGGCACAGCCCCTCCAGCTCACCCCTCACCTCTGCCCCATGGCACCCTCCAGATGGGATGGTTCGCAGCCTCGCCCACAGATGCCCCTGGCCAAGCCCAATGTGCAGGCATCACCTTGGAGTGCAGGGCATGGGGCAAGGCTCCGACAGCCTTTATTCTGCCCACAGATTGGGAAACCCAGACCAGCTTTGCCGATGGAATTACTGCCTGGTAGGTTTAAAGGGCACGAGAGCCCAAGGGTGCCAGGGGCAGGCACTGGCACAAGCTATCCAATGGTGGGGGCAGGGGCTGACAGTAAAAGAGAACTGCTACCAGTCTCTCTCCCTCCCTTTGTCCCATTCTGAGCCTGGTCTTGCAGCCCGTGAAGCTCCCCTTTCACTGGGACAGCCCCAGCCTTCACATGGGAAAGTCACAATCAATGGCAGCACAACCACTGGCCATGCTGCCAAACTCTCCCCCTGGCCCATGGGGCCATCCTGGAAACAGCGAAGGACTGCAATACTTCAATCAGGCAATCATCTACAACCGGTGGCAGCCATCTGGGCCTGAATGCGGTCAGCCTTAGATCTGATCCATGTAGCTGCTCTGGAGCCAGTGAGAGACCACTCCGCTGCCTTGGCCCTGCCTCCTGGGCATGTACACAAGAGGTGGCGAGCAATGGTGTCCTGGGTGAGTGCTCAGAACATTGTCAGCCTGCGGGGCAAGATGGTCCCCAGGGACATCATGCCCCACGCATGCTCCCTGCCTCCTGTGCAGGTGCCTAGGCAATGGGGCAACCCCTCACTGTCTCCAGGCCTGCCTTGCAGATCTAAGGCTGACCATATTCCAGCCTGGATGGCTGCTGCCAGATTGTAGATCAGTGCCAGGTTGGCATGGGCGGGGCTGAGGCACAATCTTTCACTGTTTCCAAGGTGCCTCCGTGGACCAGATCTAACCACATCACAGGCTGGATCTTGCTTGCAGGCCTTGAGTTGACACCCTTGCTCTAGAAATTAAATATTATTTGCATACATTCTAAATTACTGACTTTTGGGGTAGATTGAAGGTAATTTTTCCTGTTTCTTCCTATGATAATAGTTTCTGGAGTTGTTTGTGTACTTTAAGTGTGGTTTTCAAATAGCCAACAGACAGCTGTTCAGCAAACTCTTCAACACAGCTGTTTTAGTTTCTGGAGGCTGATTATAAAACACACTTGTAGCCCTGGAATGAACTTTAGTACATCTACCATGACAATCCAAAGACTTCCAAATAAATTTGCACTGTTTACTGATTTACATTTGAGCACCTCTATCATTAAGTTTCTTGGCTATCCTGATTACTTTTAGGAGATTGTGGGATCAATTCCCAAAGGAACACATATTTAATATAATTAGTGATTAAATGAATACATGATTCTTTTCAACTATATCATCAAAGTCACATAAACTATAGCCTTTTCAACTATATCATCAAAGTCACATAAACAGAGTGTTCTAGACAACATGATCAGCAAAGTTATAGACATATATAGATAAAGCCAACTGGTTCACTTATTTATATTATTTTTATATTTTCAAAAAGAAGCTGAAGCTTAACTGCATTTGTGGTTGCTAAAGTTTGGAGGGGACACTTTGTGATAAATAAGTTTGTGACTTTCCAAGAGTTCCTAGAACGTGATCCTGGGAGATCAGTTCTTGCTCCCATGGAATTATGCTGGGACGAGAAATCCCACAAAGTTGTACTTTGTTTCCCATGTAAATATGCAAATGTGTCTTTGCTTACTGACTGCAATTGAGACAGGCAACTCTGTTACTAAATGCTGCAGTTGCTAAGTGAAAAATTATATGACTACACTTGGTTTATAACCTCACATTTGCTTCCATTACTAAGCAAATACCAAAGACAATACGTGAAACATTCATGACCATGTTCATATTCTATATTAATTTTGCTTGTTGCAAGTCAGTTGCAAAATCAGAGACAGATAAAACACAACTACCAACTAATTGTAGCCCCTACCTCATTGTGGAAGAACAGGAGGTGAGGAGCATTCTGAGGGCTGTGGACCCTAGAAAGGCTGCCAGTCCTGACGGTATCTCTGGCCGAGTGCTTAAAGACTGTGCTGATCAGTTGGCTGGAGTCTTTACCAGGATCTTCAATCGGTCTTTATCCCAGTCCACTATTCCATCTTGTTTGAAGGTTTCCACCATTGTTCCGCTGCCAAAGAAGTCCCCTATCAATAACCTCAATTATTACAGACCAGTGGCACTCACTCCTATCATCATGAAGTGCTTTGAGAAATTGGTCTGCCAGCACATCATTTCTGGTCTTCCGCATACATTTGATAAACAACAGTTTGCATACAGAAAAAGTAGATCTACAGAGGACGCTGTAGCCATCACTCTTCACACTGCTCCGACTCATCTAGAACAGTGGGAGGGCTAAGTGAGGATGTTTTTTGTGGATTTTAGTTCTGCGTTTAACACAATTCTTTCACATACACTAGTGTCTAAACTTCTGTACCTTGGGCTTTCTAATTCAATCTGCCTTTGGATTATGGATTTCCTGTCTGGCCGCTCACAGACGGTCAGATTAGGCAATCATACCTCTTCAGCCCTTATTCTTAACACTGGTACACCACAGGGTTGCGTGTTGAGTCCCTTACTCTATACTCTTTATGTGCATGACTGCATTCCCACTCATATTAGTAATACTATAGCTAAATTTGCAGATGATACAACAGTGGTGGGACTTATCTCGGGGGGGGGGGGGAATGAGTCTGCCTACTGAGGTGAGGTGGACCGGTTGTTTTCATAGTATGGAGACAATAATTTGGTCCTCAACACCAATAAGACCAAGGAGCTTATAGTGGATTATAGAAGGAACAGAACAGACATCCAGCCCTTGCTTATCAATGGAGACCGAGTGAAGCAAGTGGCCAGTTTTAAGTTTCTGGGTGTTACCCTAAAAAAGGATCTGACCTGGGATGCCCACATTGCAGCCCTGGTCAAAAGACCCCAGAAGACATTACACTACCTAAGCCTTCTCAGAAAACAACAACTGAATGAGAAACTGTTGGTGACCTTCTACCGCTGCACCATAGAGAGCATTTTAACATACTGTACCTCTGTATGGTTTGTCAATTGCACAGTGGCAGATAGGAAAGCACTCCAGAGGGTTAATGTCATTGCCCAGAAGATCATTGGTTGCCCTCTCCCCTCTTTGGAAGAGCTTTATAACTCCCGCTGCCTTAAGAAAGTTCAAAACATTCTCAAAGATCCATCTCATCCTGGAAACCCTTTTTTTGAACTATTACCATCTGGCAGATGATACAGAATAATAAAAACAAGGACAAATAGGCTGAAAAACAGCTTATATCCCAGGGCAGTAGCTCTTTTGAATTCTGCTGTATAGTGCAGTGTTGGTGTGGTGTTGGGGGTTTCCTGTTCAATGTGTGAAGGGTGAAGGTTGTGTGTTTGTGTTTATTTTCATGGTCATGATGTGCACTGAAGATGGTGTTTGATTTCGTTGTACGAGGTGCAATGACAATAAACTAAACTAAACTAAATTAAAACCCCTGAATGCAATCACAATACCCAGTATGTTGCAATGGCTGTAAGTATGAGGACTGGTCACAAAGCTGTTGTTGTTATTGTTGTTGTTGTTGTTTTTAACCACTGTAACTTTTCTGAACAATTCTGAGCAAGGACTACTTATAACTAGAGTCACAACACTGAGCATTTTTCCAAGCAAATTTTTTTCTGTAAATTTAAAATGATCTATGTTAATGCTATCATCTATGTTTTCACTCAAATAATGAGTTTTTCATTTGCCTCTACTGCATGAGTTTTCTGCTTGGCTTTAGTGGATTTTCCTGTGGTAATATAACCTATTGATCATTTTATCATTTTCTGTAAGGCCT